ATGTACTTGACTCCACGCACTGCCATCTAAGACTTTATACACTCGACCCCGTGACGTTACATAGCTCCAATTACATAGCTCCAAAACTCATGGCTAATGATGCTTTCGGGCCACTCGTCTTCTAGTTTAGAACAGGTTTTTTTTGGAGGGGGGGTTCCTTATTATAACTAAGCATAATATACCCCAAGCCCTATTCTAATTATTATTGAAGCCCCTATATTACACCCTATAGCTCAGCCGCCCAAAGGCACCGCCGTGCCTGCCCGAGGCAGCAGCGTTCGAAGGTCCAAAAATCGTCCCAGCAATCTCGGCTTCGAGGGCCGGAGCTTCGGCTTGAGCGTTTAGGGTTCAGTTCAGTAGGGTTTGGGGTTTAGGGTTTAGGGTTTGGGGTTCAATTCTAGGGTTTAGGTTTTTTTGCGTAAAGTTTATAGGGTTTAAGGGTTTAGGTTTGTTTAGGGTTTAGGTTTTCGTTTTGAACGACCCTTTTTGTCCATCCTGCGAAATACCACTGGGCGTTTGGAGCCCGACCTCCCTGGCCGATCCAGAGAGAGCGACCACATGAGCAGGAAATGCACAGCACACTCCACGACGAGGGTTTATAGGGTTTAGGTTATATGGTGTTAGGGGTTAGGGTTCAGTTCTAGGTCGACTTGTACCGTGAAGGTAAGGAGTATAAGGAAATCATGAAAAGGAACCGTAAACATGTAGGTTTCTTAGGATCCCAAGCTAACAAGGGTTCTGTTCAGGGATCCGGGCTGAGGGTCTGGACCCTAGAGAACCTACCGCTTTAGGGCTGCAGCCTAGTCATGTGTGTTGTAGTGTGCCCTTAGGTTCAGGGATGAGGGTTTAGGGTTTAGGGGACCCTTTTGCAACAAGCTTTCCACTTCGCCCGGAGTTGGAGCAAGCAGCCCTCGCAGTCCCCCCCTAAACCCTAAACCCTAAACCCTAAACCCTAAACCCTAAGTCTGTTGAGTTGAGTTTGGAGGCTTCGGGCTTGTTGACTTGGGGTCCCCGTGAGAAGAGTGCGGTGCCAGAGCCTGGGTCCATACTGTACCCACAGGCCCCTTAGTAGTTAAAGAGTTCCTTTAAGGGTTCCTCTAAGGATTCCCTTAAGGGTTCCTTTAAGGGTTCCTTTAAGGATTCCTTTAAGGATTCCTTTTTGGGGTTCATTATTTAATCCCCAAAAAGGGAACGACTATGGGGCCTATGGGTAGAGTGATCATGACTCAAGAAACTTCGCCTGATAACAGGGCCACACGACAAAACATGGACATGTGAAAGTAGATGAACACCAACATTTTAGGGGCTTGGCTAGGTTTTCAGGCTTGAGGGATTTGGGAGTTTCCGAAAATCAGGGGTACCTTATTATGGGGATCCTTATATTAAGGATCCTATTATTTAGGGTACTATTTTAGGGTCCCCTATTTTCGGAAACCCCCATTTGGGTGTGGTGGTTTAGAAGCCTAAGTTATCAGGCTCCAGGCTTGGTGTAGGTGTCTTGTTGCCAACAGTCCAATATGGAAACCCCCATAACCCTGTTTTGAACGACGTCCCTAACCTAAACCCTAAACCTTAAA